TTTTTTTCCTTTTTGGTACAAAAGGCAATTGTTTCATCTTTGGCATAATTAACTCAATGGCATCAATGAACTAAAGAATATAATCTATTTATACATTGAATGTGGATCCTTAGATTTGAGTTCTAGAATATGATGGTCATCATCATAATGTGGCATCAGATTAGTTATTTCACAAGGATACTTTTCAGTTTGATTAACAGGAACAGATTATTTGTTATTTGCGAATTCTGTCCATATTTTTTTAAAGTTTAAGTCTTTTCTTTGGCCAGTTTTAAAAGTTTATAGATTGGAATAGGAAAAACATATCAATGTTCCTTGGCTTTCAACCAATCACACTTTCTTAGTATCTTGTTAATTTTATGAAATTTTGTCATATTCATAATATGATATGTATGTGCTCTGAATCTGATCTCCCTTACATGGTTTTTGAACATATGACCTAGGTTTCTTTCCCAAAATAAAACATTTTCATTTTGCCTTTTGGTTGCCAGATCCCAATGCTTAACTTGTTTTTTTATGCATGATGCAGGAGCTGGACAAGTCAAAACCTGTCATTTTGATAGGCGATCTCAATTGTGCACATGAAGAGATAGACATTTATGACCCTATTGGGAGTGTTTCAAAATTTTTATCTTTTTGCTAGGCTTTTTGCTTATGATGTTATGAGTCATGCCATTAAATCCATGGATTGTTTTATCTTTGATCTTTCATGCCTGGATGGATCAGGCAATTGTGGAAACATATAGTGTAGCCACGGCTGTGCTTGCACTGCTTGCAGTTGCAGATGCTCCTAGCAAATTGAAGTGGACACACTTTATGTTAGTAATTTATTTTCATGTTAGTTGCTTCAATTTATGTGGGAATAAAAGGATTGCTGGGTTTACAAAGGAAGAAATGCCGTCTTTTCGAACAAACTTCATATCCAGGGGGTTTGTGGATACCTTTAGAAAGCAACATCCTGATGTGATTGGCTGTACTTACTGGGGTTATCGCCATGGTGGCCACAAAACTAATAAAGGTTTATAACATTCCACATGCAACCTTCAGCTTCCAATTCCTATTCATATTCATCTGAGAGGTTATCTGTCCCAATTTAGTTGAATGGTATGATTTAGTCATTATTTTTGAAACAGATTGGCAGCTTGACTACTTTCTCGCCTCAGAATCCATTGCTGACAAGGTTTACGATTCATACATTCTTCCTGATGTTACCGGTATTGATCATTGCCCCATCGGCCTTATACTGACACTGTAGTTGAACCGTCAGTATTTTAGCTATCGTCCAGAGTCTTCAGACTATCAGATGGAATCAACCCAAAAAACCAACTTGCAAGAAGCTTGATGGTGTGGACAGTTGGAAAATGTAAGTGACCGTTTTGCTGCCCTAATCCCAGTGAGAAAAATTGCTTCATAGCTTAACTTATGCTACCAGCTCTGGTTTTCTTTCCCTCATGAACATATTTGTCAAATATTTTTCAAGGTCATTTCCCATGGGGGAAGGGGGTAGAACTTAAAATTTTCGGAGATCTTACTGAAATTTTGGTTAGTTGGTGATTGTACCCTCTATTTTCCTGATGCGATATCCACTTTGTGGTAGTTGTTTAGAATTTTCCCTTTTAACAATATTTGACTCAATCAATCACACCATACATCCTAGGGATGTGCAAGATTTTGTGATAACGAAGGATGTGGGGAGAGTCAAACCACAGTCGGGCAAATTGATTGACCGGTCAGTTTTAATCAGTTTGGCCAATCAATCGGTTGCAAAATCGTTCTTATTGCTCGCTGGTTTGACCGTTTTGACTGGATAATCTGGTCTAGTCTTGAAAACACTTATAACGTGTGATTATCTGTTAGATAAATCAATATACATTCACTTGTTTTGTTTATGAATATTTGATATTATATGTGAAAGAACACTATAGCTCATTACTATTTTAAGATTTGCAACAAGAGTTATGCCTGCGACTCATAAAACATATTGATTTCTCAATATCCGTGTATTAATTTAATGCCAAATTATTATGTAACTTATACAATTACAAAAATTTAATTTCACAAAATGGATGGTATAGATTAATTAAAGTAAATGGATAATAATAGGATTAAAATAAGAAAAATATTTTTGTACCTTGAAAAATGAAAAATAATAATTAATTTAAGATAAATTTTAAACTAAAAATGATAGTTATTTTAAGATAGAGGAAGTATTATATTTGCTCTATTGTAATATCATTATATATTCATAAAGTGTTAGTAAGCTGCGGCTCTCAAATTTTAATAAGAATTTGTTATTTTCGTATTACATTAACCCTTTTATCTTTAATTGAATTAACCTAGCCATTGTTATTGATGACCTATTAAATTTCAAAAATAAAATAAAAATTTAAAAATTAAGTATGAAAATGTGAAAATAAAGAGTTGTTCTTCATTTAAATAGTAAGGTAAAATAAGTTCCTTAAATTATGATCTGTATAAAGATATTTAGATTTATAGTTAGAAGTGAGAAATGATATACATGCATCTCACAAACCTCTATATAAAACATGGTTGCATATTTTAATATTAGAAATTTAATTCAACTTGTTTATTGTTTTTGGTCTTAATAGCAACATTTGAAAACTTGAGGACTCAATTAAGTAAATTAGGAACGCATGTGCTTAATTGCAACGAATTAAAAACTAGGAACGCATGTGCTTAATTGCAACGAATTAAAAACTGATAGACTGATTTGAACAGATTTGAAACATGGAGGACCAGATTTAAATAGTTTAAAAATCCTGGACCAAATTGCTTGATCTAAGAAAGATATGTGAAAAATTAAAATTAAAAAAATAAGCACAAATTTTTTAACTTTATTTTCAAATAAAAATATATATTAGTTTCTATTAAAAAAATTAGAATTTTTTGTCCAATACTAGGTGGTTTAGTTGCTAGTCTCTTAATGGAAAGTGCCATATGAAGTCTTAAGTTCATTAATGAGGCACTACTCCTCATCCCCTAAAATTCCCTAAATTCAAAAAAAAAAAAAAAAAATAGAGTTTTAACCTTATAAGACATTATTTTATTTAATTAAAATTTAATTCAAAATTTAAAAATATATTTTATTTAATATTAATATCTAAATTTTAAAATTAATTATATATTTTAATATAATCTATTTTTAAATTTATATATTAACATTTAATAAAATAAATTTTTAAATTTCAAATTAAATTTTTATTTCTCAATATAAAAATTAACATTTAATAAAGTGAGTTTTTAAATTTTAAATTTGATTTTAATTAAATGAAATGGTTTCTTTTAATACTGTGATTTAAAATTTTTTAAATCAAAACTGATAAGCACTTTTTTTTATTTTTATATTATTATTAGAAAAAAAAACATTTTTACCTTGAAAATATCAAGATTTTTAATTACAATATTTGAGGCATAATATGAACCCTGATTTTATTAAATTTACCATATAATTATTATTAAATATATTAATATTTTTAATATCAAAACAT